TGATTTTAAATTTTAATAAATTTATTGTTTCAAATGAGTGAGTTACTACACAGTTCTGTAATGGTGTTCTGCCTTTTATTACTGGCAATGTACAACTTGAAGACTCCTTTGACCTATCCATCCTGAATGAAAATCCAGTGGTACCTCAAAGTTCTCTGGCATTTTATTTAGCATGGCTCACCAAAGAAGGCAATCTTGCTGCTGTTGTAATCATGAAATTTTGACAGTAATATTGAAATTATTTCCAAACCGAAAATTTGTATTCTCATGCAGGCGCTTGACTATTACATGTAGCTTGAGTTTTAAGTGAGCTTCTCATGATCAGCTCAACAAGTTGAAATCGTGAGATCACTTCCATCATGAAATTCGTAGTATCATAAGCTAAATAAAATCAATAAACAACGAATAGACTTACGAACCTTTTCTGTCACCATGAAAAAAATTTTCAACGGATATAATCTTGTAGCAGTCTAAGCAACAAATTGAAAAGAAAAAAAAAAAACAGGCATAAATAAGAAGAAGAACCCTAAATTTAGATATTTTTGAATTATTTGATCCCTCTTTTTAACCATTATTGTACACTATTTTTAGTATTATGACAATTGTATTGTAAATTTCTGTTTTCCTTATCTAGACTTAGTAGTAGTAGGTCCACATCAGCTGTACAGTTGCATACCTTTAAAATCTACTTGTCAAATAAATGTATGTATGTACGACACGAACTGACAAAAGGCTTACTTATCAGTAATGACGGCCGCTGTGGAGCATTTCGTAAAGGGTCCAACGAACATTTCCAGGACCAGTACTTGCAACAAGTTATTGTCTACATACCTTTTTTGTATTTGTGGTCCATTCTTCTTTCATCTGTGGCTGTTGATTCACAACAACATGAACAAGCTTAAACACCCCAAGGCGAACAACAAAATTAATCTGAACCGGAAATGCCGATTTAACGCACGCGCATACGTTTTGCCGCGTTGTTCAAACATGCATGAATGTAGACCGGAAATGCGGGGAGCAAAATTGCTGACCGGATGTACTTTTAAAATGTGATTACGCGTTTTTTGTTGGTTTGTTTTTTTAGCTTCTCCTATTAAGATATTTTTGGTACAATATATCATTGATAGAGGGATAAAAGGACGACTTTTGATTCGCTTTTATGACTGTTTTGCAATGGTGAATAAAGAGGACAAAAGAAAAGCGCTTCACAGATCGTTTTACGCAACCTGATCGCCTCCATTGGCTTTACTACACTGGATCAAGTTTATATAAGAGAGGATACCATTTGTCATCTCTTGGTTAAGCTACAGTAAATCCAGGAGTACTGATAGGTGTTAAAATATGTTCAGGTTTTCGTTAACAACAAATGATG